AAATTCAAACTCTTCAACTATATGGCTGTTTGGGACTTGGCCTGAAGGGCAGTTTTCTGCCTTAGACATGCTAAACTTTAAAAACGTGTCTCCAGCACAACAAATCACTTGCACCTTTTTCCCACTTTTTTGAGGGTCAGGGCTTAGTGGATTTCACATCAAGGAATTAAAACTCCAAGCGTACAATTGCTGAAAATTGTTTAAGTGTACTCTTAAGATTAGGTGCAACACCTTCACAGTCAAAATAGAGTCCGTCTCGGACTTGCACACAATTGCGTTAATGCGTTAATGGGTTTTGTTGTGTGATTTCTCTGTCAAAGTGTCAAGTCTCCCGCTTGCCCAAATCCGAAAAAATACCCCACTTGTTCTTAGACAATAAGCCCTAGTTTGAATTTTTGCATTTAAAGTGTTGCTTTTGGTTCCATTTCCATATAATTTGGTGTTAGCTTGGCTTTGGTGTTACATGCTATTTTAGAATAAAGGATAGGGGAGGAAGACTCGGAATTTAGAAGAATCAGGGAGGGAGAAGACAAAAGATGACGAAGCAGAGAAGTAGAGTTGAGAGAAGAGAATTTGCTAATATTCATCCCATATAACTGTTCCAATTACAAGGATTGTTTTATATAAACTGCAGACAAGAAAAATCACTTAAATATCCCTATTTCTTAATTGAGCCATAACAAACGAACAACGCACCCCCCTTAAGCAACCTTGCCCCCAAGGCTGTGATGATGCTGCTCTAGTATCACTAATGTTTTAAGGGAAAGGAAGTCACTGCAGAACCCATCTTGATAAAAGCAACAAAATTGATAACAGTAATCCATAGTGAGGTGAATTCTGAACATTTGCTATAGGCAAAAACTGGGGTGGAAGCCAAATAATGCTCTTTTTGTAATGTTGCTAGCGGGTTGTACATTCCATTTCAAAGCTGCTGCAGCGTGTACTTGAATCATTTGTTCTTGATGAACTAAGTGCAAAACTCTAAATTTGAAATCTCATGACAGCTTCTCACTCGTATAAACAGTCCCCTTCACCCTTTTGGACGTCACTTTCTTTTCAAACATTTTGAAATCCCTCTAAGCCCTTTTAACAATCATTCTAAAGCAATCCACAGCCAATTTCTGCTTAAGCCACCATCTTATATCCATTCTTATCCCCTTGAATCTGTCCTTGTCCTCAAGGACAGGTGCCAAGCAATATTTGAAAGTCGTTCTGCTTTTCTTAAAATCTCACAAGAGATCACCTTCTATAACCTTGGGGCCATACGCCTCATAATCTCATTTTGCATCTCACATCCTGTTATATACTGCCATTAGGCTGTTTCTTGGGCTTAACACTTGTACATGGCCTTCATCATTATTCATTACAGGTTCCAAAGGATTACCCATGTCAAACAACTTGCCCATATTGTTACAACATTGCATTCAACTGCAACGCCTAAAACACCAACTACCTCAGCTTGGCATTTACAATTTGAACCGTAACATTTGGTCTTGGATTCTGAGTTGCCGCAGGGTTAAGCATGAGTTCTTTTTGGTTATTTTCATAGACCAAAGCAATCAAATTAACTTATTGTCTTGCTAGGTTCTGTTGAAAGACAGCCTTTGAGGAATGAAGCAAGGATCACCTGAGATTACTCCAAGGATTTCAGGTAGTCCTACTGCCCTTTGTTTAAGCAGTAGCAACAGCAGCAGCTAAAACTGATGAGTGGAAGAAAGCATGGAGGCTCACGGAAAGAACCGAAGCAATCTCCACTTAATGGGTTTCCATCATTGGGCAGTGATGTGGTTATTGAAGATGAACAATTCAGGGAAGGAATTCATATTTAGGGTTTTGTGAATTTTTGGAATCATGGAAGGGTTGAATGACGAGAAAGGCAACCACGGGGCTGGGAATAAGTGCTATGACTTGAAACGGTGTCGTTTCAACTTTCAATAATTCATTCCGCCTAAAAATTATTACTACCCGCTGCAAAGTGCAAACCATTTTCCCGATATGGAATACCTTTAAAAGGTTTATGTTGAAATTAATTTAATAATGGGCTTAAGCTGGATCTCTCTTGAACCGTTAATACCATTCCATCTCATTACAGAGCAACGATGTGATGGGCCCTATTTATTGGCCCAACCATGTATGGACCAGTTTTAATTACTGAATATATCCTAAAGATATTATATTTTACAATAAAACAGTTTAAATTATAAGAGTGGTTATATTTTTTCCATCTTAATTCAACGACGGATCCAATCAAGAAGACTGCAGTTCATGGTTTTCAACTTACTCACTTCCCAATCCCATGTTATGATGAGATTTCATATGGTGGAGAAAAGGTGAAAATAAAAATGTTAATTTGGTTTTTTATTTAAAAATATTAATTTCATTAATTTTTAAATAAAAATATTAATTTTCAATTTTTTTATTTAAATATATTATTTTTTAATTTTTTTTAAACATTTAATTTAATGATTAAAAAACTATAAACTACAATATCATTATCTAATTAATTTTTAAATAAAAAAATGTAAAATTAACAAATTTAAATAA